TAAGCCTAAATATATGCATTTTTATTTTATATTTGAAAACAAAATTATATTCGATGACAAACATTAAAAATCCACAGTGAAAACAAGCAAATGTTACGCATAAAAATTATTAAAGGAGGAACGTGTAAACTTAACAGCTCATTTACTCAAATTCACTAAAATGTCTCTTAAGCCGGTTCATTCAGTAAGCTCTTCAAATAATAATTTACTATTGCCTAATGGGTATGTTATTGTACGTATTTTTGATAAAGATTATAAAAACATTCAGGCTGTTCGGAAATTACCTGACCTTGATGTATATTTTTAGAATTCTTTACAAAAATGAAGTCATAGTGTTGCAAAACAATTAAAAAACAAAAACGCTATCGAAATCTACTGGATCATTATTGAAAAATAGAATGGCAACATCGAAATATATTTGATTACATGTGACGTCGAAATTGGGTATACTATAGCCTACGTCACAGATCGTGTTATTCCTACTAAATTTAACTAGTAAACAGCATTTTCTGTGAACCTGATTTCTAGCAACAAGTAAAAGCATCAAACGAAGTGTCTTGTTATAAGTCGCTACTCGCCAGGTTGGAATTGTATTAGTCTAGTTCCTTTGGAAATAATTTATATTGTTGTTTTACCGAAGTTTATGAATTTAGTAAGCATATTTAAAACTCAGTTTATTAATTAAACTAAAAGGTAAATGTTATTCCTAGTAAGTGGAAGTAGTTGTGCTTTGTTCATATTATACCCAATTGGGAGAAGTTGAAAGGCGATTATTAGAAACACTTCCAAATTTCCTCAGACAATAAAGTTCTTTATTTAGGATGGCACATTTATTACTTTAAATATATTTATATTTGTCATTTAAAAAAAAAATCACTACAACCATCGAGACCAATTTCTTATAAACTATTAATTCGAAATATGTATAGTTATTTTTTGAACAAAAAAAATGGACATTTTGAACTTGCTTTGAATTTTTTCTCTTACAATATTCTTATTGTATTTCAGATATTGTAAAATTTCTAAACTAAATACTTGCTTTGATTTCCGGACAGGTTTTGCGAGTGAGGGTTAAAGTTCGTGTTCTGTTTTCTTCTTTGCCAGATTCATCCTTAGTTAAATGATGTCACAAGATTAAATCGTTTGCTTCTAGGTTGAATGACGTCAGACAATGACCAATTCCATTATTTTCTAAAGTTCGAGGCCAGAAAGAACATTATATTTTTTTCCGATGTTAAATAAATAGTTTTATTATAAAAACAGTTTTTTTAAATTAATTACTTTTCTCCGAAACGTCCAATTATTAGATTTTAAAACTGTATAAGTTAAGATTTTCCAAACTTTAATTAAAGACTTTAAAGTTCAATAATTCTATTCTTTATAAAAAATAAATAAAACATTGAAAGGGTTTTCGTTTGAAAAATCGCACTTTAGCCATTTCTTTTACTTCAGTGGTAGATGTTTCTGAAGTTTCAGATCATAATCTGGAGTTACTCTGGTTCTTGGAATTTAAAGAATTTTATTTGTAAAAAGAAGTCTAATATTGTTTTTGAAACACATTTTATTTTTAGTGTATCAATTTTGAACAATTCTACAGTCCCTTATTTCGAAAAAATTATGAATCGATTTTCAGGATTGTTTCTTTTGTTACAGGGCATATTTTAACATGGAAATATTTGAAATTTTTATTCGCATTTTTCCTATTAACTTGAAAGTTAATTTTTCAACAAAAAACGGGCCTTAAATTTCAGCTTCAAAAATAAATACCTTTCGTTTTTTTTCGTCTTCTTCTTGTGGCCACTTGACAAAAGGACAAACTGCAACATCTATCAATATATTTTTAACTCTCGTCGAGAAGAATACACCGACTTCAATCCAATATTCACTGACGGATCTAAAACTGATGGCCATACTGCAAATGGTGTTTCGAATTTTTCTGAAAAAGTACATCCAAACTGTTCAGTATTCACTTCAGAATCTCATGCAATTCTTTTAGCTCTACAATGTATATGTACTCAAAAATCGATCAAATGGTGTGCATATTCAGATTCAAAGAGCTGTCTAAAAGCATTGCAGAATAGAGACCTAAAACCACATACAACTATAAATACAATTGAAAACCTACATGACAATTTACACCAAAAACGATTTGAAATATTTTTCTGTTGGATCCCTGGTCATGCAAACATTATGATAACAGCCAACAATATAAATGACACAGTTGACAACTTCGGTCATAATACATGCTGCCAAAGTTAGCATACCAAAAGCAACTAACTCTCCTTTCCGTCACTCGAAGCTGACACGAGACCCTTTCTCCCTCCAAAAGTTCATGCATGTATTTATGCAGGCTACGCAGGTTGCATTATAATCATGTAATTCACATTAACAATGCAGCTATATACCTATAATTGAGAAACTGAATTTTTGGGAGTGATTTTGGACAAGAAGTTAAAATTTTTTCTTGCGTATTAAACCGTTGCGAAAACGCAGTGAGAAAACTATGAACATGTTAGGCGTCATTTCAAATACGTATTGGAGTACAGATTGTATCGCCTTACTATGGATACATCAGGTAGTAATACTATCGTGTATACTATCGTGTATTGATGACGCTTGTGCAGTATATGGCACTGCTTCTACTTCGCACCTTAAAAGGTTTGATACTATGCATCATACTGCCTTGCGCATATTTAGCGCCGCATTTCATACTTCTCCAGTGGAAAGTCTGTATACTTATTGTCACCCACTACCTCCAGATTTGAGATTACAGTTATGTCTAACATATTATTTTCGCGTAATGTCATCCACATCACAGCCTCTTAAACGTGAAACACTTCCAGCAAGTTTACAGCGGATTTATAATGCTCTCACATGTTCGCCCTATTAATGCTCGCATGTACTCACTCATCCAATGATTCAATATCTGCGAATCCCCTGCACAATCAGTCGGTAACTTGCTTATTCCACCTTGGGACGTTTCACAAGACCATTTTCATTCTCTATTTGACGTATATAGTAATCCTTATGTAGCACCAACCATTTTTCAGCAGTTATACAAAGCTCGTCGTCATCAATATCAATATATTCCAGTCCAAAATCTCTATTCTATGCAGGCAGTGGTATCGTTATTGTTGGTGCCGCGTGCAGCTATAAAATACTAGCTATATGTTCTGTGTTCACGGCTGAAACAGTAACCATTCTATCGACACTGCTGCTTATTTCAGCAGGTTTGACTCGGAAATACTGCATTTATTAGGACAGTCTTAGCGCCGACTGGAACATTTTAACTGTGAAACTCATCCCATTTTGTGTTATATGCAACATTTGTTATTTAATTTGCTTTATAAGAAAGATTTCGATATTTTGTTTTACTGTGTTCCAACATGGTGGAATACCGGGCAATGATTTAGCCAAAACAGCTTCGCGATCTGCTACTGCTCCCTTAAATTCATCTGTTACATATAAAATTACATGTTCGACAGTTTATAAAATCTTTATGACCGCAACAGTGGGATAACCAAATGAATTATAAATTGTTCGCTACTAAATTGAGTTTGGACTCCTTGTCAGTGATTCGCCTCCGTAGTGCAAATGTTATCATTATCCGGCTCCGAATTAGACATTCTAGGCTTACTCATCTTTGTTTGTTATTTGGGGAACCTCCTCCTCATTGCAATACTTGTAACGTTTTACTTTCTGTTAATCATATTTTAATCCATTTCCCGTATTTTAATCAGCATCACCTTACCTTTTTTTAGTACTTCTATTTTGTCTAAAGAGCATTTGTTAGGTGATGCGCATCATCCAAACATTTTTGCATTTTTACGTGCTATTGGTATATTAAATTGTATGTAAGTTTTAATTTTACTTATTATTTTATTCACGTTTATAAGTGCATTTTTTCCTTTGTATAATTTTACTGATTTTATAAAACTTTATTGAATTGACAATTTTAAATGATTTTATTCCATTATCACCTTTGAATTCTCTTGTACAATTTCATAAATGTTTCATGCTTTTTTATGAAAATAAGTGTAGTATGTACTATACCTTTTGACCTATAAAAGCGTGTTATTTGGCGCAGCATGTCCTCACTTGTACCTTGTGTCATAAAACCCTACATTCAATTCAATTAAATGAAAAATTTTTGCTGACTAATGTAAAATTCATCTATATCCAAAGATAATTTTATGTGAAAAAAATAACTTTAGTAAATATTTATTATTTTATTTAATAATAGTCGAAAACTTTTTGACTTATAAAGTATATATATATTTTTTACATCATTTTAAAGAATGTAATTTCACATGGCAAAATACAAAATTTGAACGAAATCGGTCGAGTAGCTCCTGAAAATTTGAATGTTAAATATGCGACTTTTTAAAATTAAGGGGTCCAATTTTTGGGCTGCTTTCGTGACCAAGTATTAAGACCATATTTACCAGGAGCGGCTACCCTTTTTGGGGGTCAGATCTCTGTATCCATCGAAAAAATGGTAAGTTTATTTATAGAAAGTACATTTTCGTAATTTAAATTATTATTTTTTGCGAAATATTTAATAGATTGGTAGACAATTAAGAACTAAAGCTTTCCGATTTTTTTTCCATTGAGAACATTTAAAAGCCTCGTAGCGAGAGAGGAGGAACAAAATGGTGTTTCGTGTGAAGATTTAAATCATATGCACATAGTGGTTCGGAGAATAACTTTAAATCAACTTTATCATACGTTACGTTATAAATCATACGTTAAAATATAAACTCAGCTACCTCTAGAGGAAATTTCCCAGTAAGGGTTGAAACTTGGCAGCCCGGAGTAGATATATAAAAAATTGCTAAATAAACCTAACAATTTGCTCATATAATCAGGAATCTTGCAATTTATACCAATTTAATGGTGTGATATTCATTTTTGGCCTTAGCGCCAAAACTACTAATTAACTATCTAAAATCCAATGTACGTTTTGTATCAATTTATAAGATACATATATTTTTTTGCAGGATTCTGGATGCCATGTCCGGGTCCCGAAGGTTCCTTCTCTTCCTAGTATTGGCCTGTGTGACATGCGTCGTATTGGTCCAAATTACCATGGACGGGAAGAGTACTGGAAATAGATTTTTCCCTCCCTACTGGGACACTTCGAATCTCAAAGGTGAGTTATGTCAAACACAGCTGTGAAATATGAAATGAGTAATCCCAAGAAACCGAGGTGGAAGTTTATAAGACAAACACTCCATTTGCTTCTAAATATTATAAGAGTGGGAAAATTAACAAGCTTCGAGTGCTCAAATATAGGCGCATATTCACCAGACGCGAATGGCGAAAACAACTCAGATTTGAAACAGTTCGTTTGCAATATTGTATTTTCTGTTTCAGATCTGTTTTGTTCTCTTCATTCCCACCTGGAGATTGGGAGCCAATTTATAATATTATAGCTGTAAAATGTTCAAAGAATCTTTTTTTTTTTAAATTTTATTTGTACATTCTTGGAAAAATTTGTTCAACGTTGAACCATAGCTCGGTGCAAATTTGCTGTAACCTTATTAAGATGTTAAATTGAAACATCCATAAATTGAACCACAGTATCAATTAATCAAGTTTAAGAAGTGAAATTTGATCCAATTTATTACCATGTTAAATTTGTAACAAATTTAAACGTCTTCATTGTATAACAAGTTTCAAAATTTCTATCGGTGCACTCAAATATTGAATTTCTGAAAATTGTGGAAATTAGATTTATTTCGATTACTGACTGAAACATTGCGTGATCAAACAAATTATTTTCAAATACAAATTATTATAATGCTTACTTTAAAATACTTATTTATAAGTGTAGAAGTTAATGGTTAAGAATAATACTGTAGCATTAAAAAAATCATTCGTAAGTTTTAAAACATTATACAATCTATATTTTTTAACTTAATAGTAGACTGTGCTCATTATAGAACGAAATAATCGAACGTTTTCTTAAGTACAGTGAGTATAAACTGAAATTCATGTCAATAATTTTTTTTAAATATTTTGTTATAACATTTGCATGCATAGCGTATATGAACTGAAAAAGAACATCTGAAATTTATATTTCAGGCTTGATTACTTCTCCAATATTCATCTGATTTTTCTACATTTTAATGGGTTGGGATATTATTAATGGAGTTTCTGTCATACGTAGGATACCCTTTGATTGCATTTCTGTGTATAAGTTTTGATAAACCCCAACGTATAATTATTTTTTATTCAATATATCACCATTTCATTAAAAGTAATTTTAAGTAGGGCTAAATAAACTGCTGTTTGTAGAAAATGCAANATCACCATTTCATTAAAAGTAATTTTAAGTAGGGCTAAATAGAACTAGCACTCAAAAGAGAGTGAGATTAAAACTTAGATAATTGAACTGTTTCAACGGTGGTCTAGAAATACTGAAAATAACCTAATGGAAAGAAAATGCTGAAAATTACCTTGAAAATTACCTTTGTTACCTGGTAACAAATTATAAAAAAGGTTCAGCTTGGGGAGTAGCGCCGCTGAGGAAATAAGAACTAAATAGAGATATTTAACATCGTCACGTAGCATCTCGCACGTTAGCTCTGCGCAGCACATTCACAGCAGAACAGCTGTGGCTCTTTTAAGAGCTTACACAGAACCTCGTGAACGTGTATTGTTAGTGCGTAAAAGTGCAAAATCCTTCCAATGTATTTTTTTTTTCTACGTGGAAAGGAAAATTTTATAAGTACAGTACAGAACCCGTTATCCGGAAATTAGAAAACTGGAAAACCAAAAAACTGGAACGAAATTCGATAAATTTTCCTGCCATTTTTAAAAAAATATGTTTTATTCCTCATAAGATTTTAGGATTTTTCTTTCTATTTTGAAAAATGTTTACCTTACCATCATTTTGGAAATAATCATTAGTGTATTACTTCATCGTTTTTTCTTCTTTTTAAGATTATTTCTAAATAATTTTTTTTTTTTAGTTGTGTTTAACAATAAAAAANTACCTTACCATCATTTTGGAAATAATCATTAGTGTATTACTTCATCGTTTTTTCTTCTTTTTAAGATTATTTCTAAATATTTTTTTTCTTTAGTTGGGTTTAACAATAAAGAAACGGCTTTTTGTAGCGATTCAGAAAACCGGAAAAATCAGTTATCCGGAATAGCGATGGTCCCGATCGTTCCGGATAATCGGTTCCCTACTGTAATAACTTTAGAAATATAAATCAACGGGGAAAATGAGTAGATTTATCGCAGTTAAGTCCTTTTTAAGGTAAATGAGAACTATCTAGTCAACGTGTGTCAAAAATTAGATACCTAAGTTACATTGCTTGCATTGCATATGTTATAGCCAAATATGAAATAATGCAGGGTGACACATGAATCAATCGAGAAAAAAACTGAGTATAAATAGAAGTTCATGAGTAGCAGTAAAAGACATGAGTGCTTCGTTTGTAATTATGGGATGTAATTATTTTTTAATGGGCTCCTGAATGTATTTTTCCTTTTCTGAAACGTTTTCTCAATGTATTTTCTGAGATTAAACTTCAAGGTAAAAGCAAGGAAATTGAATGCCCTTTTGTTTTATTAGTATAATTAAGGTAGACAACAATAAGCACAAATTAAAAATTGAAAGAAAGTTCATACGTTAAGAAGGGACGGATTACCCATTGGGCCAGACTTGGCCATGGCCTGGGGCCCCCAATGATTAGAGGCCTCCTTAAAAAAAAATTTTTTTAAATAAATTTTAAAAAATTAGGAAAAACAATGATTTTTAAAAAAAAAAATCAATTTCAAATATATATTAATAAAATACGATAATTTTTTTAGTTCTAATTTAACAAAATAAAGTAAAATTTTATTTTTTATTATTTTTATTTTAAATATGCTTTCTTAAATGAAAAGATATATAAATACTTTTTTTTTATATTTGAATAAATAAAAAATATACGAGAAAAAAATTTAATCTAAGAGCCCCAAAAATTATAATGGCCTAGGCCCCGTTTACGTTTAATCCGCCCCTGACGTTAAGTACCAGCATCTTTGCCTAGTTATGTGCTGTAGAAATACCATTTTCAGGAATGATAGTACTTCTTAATCAACTATTTTATGTTGGCTTTTTACATTGTTAACTAAGAAAAAAGTTTTACCTTTATTTTTTTAAATAACTACTCGGTTGTATCTAGTTTTCTCTTAACGTAATCAATAGTTATAGCATTTAAAATTTCTATACAGTGTATTCATACGTTATGGATTATTGGTATTATTTTGTAAAGTGAAATTGATTGCGAATAAATTCCACGCTACATTGAAATGTAGCACTAATTTTTTTTTTTAACATAAACCATTTATAGATTATTCGATTTGTTTTCATACGATCTCCAAGAGACAAGGTTGGAAATAATGATTTCCTATCGATAGAATTTAAAATTTGAATAAATCATTATAAGATATTAATTTACTCGTTAAAAGCTTTCAGACAATGCTAAACAAAAAAGAATTTAATTGTTTGGATTTGAAGAAGTTTTTAGTGGTTTGTGATTAGCTTTTAATTAATATTATTTTAGGTGTTCAATTTTATTTTTAAGTAAGAAAAAGGAATCTACAAAAAATTTTAATGGTTTTTATGTGGAACGTTGGCGTTAATTAATATGTAATTATCTGTTTATCAAATATTACTTTATGGGAAATTAAATTTTTATGAAATGGAAGAAAAACAATCCTTAGTTTTTATAATTTCGATTTCGTTGATTAATTTAATTCCAATTTCCTCAAAAATAAGCATGAAAAATATTTTTTAAATCTATTTATTTTGTAAGTTATATTACTTGAATCAATTTTGTTATGCTATAACGTTTAATTATTTTTTTTTATTAAAAATAATATTTGACAGTAATATTTGTTTTCTTTTATCCCAGAACCGTAATAGACTTCAATTATTTTAAAAAATATCCTGCAATAAGAATTACTTTTTATTAATTTCATACATTATTTTTTATTGATTTTACTACACATTCTTTTTGTTAATTTAATGATTTTTTACCCTTCTCAATTATTTATATTAAAGTTATGTGATGTGTTAGAATTTATCGAAATATTTAAATCCTAATCCCAATCAGAATTTCAGCTCAGAACTTAAAAACTGTAAGTTGTAATATGAAAATCCAGGGCTAATGAAAATCAAAACATTCCATTTATCGTTTAATATAATTCTGAGATATTTCTTATTGTAATAATTTCATTCTGTTAAGGAGTATCCTGAAAATAAAAGTTGTACTTTAAAATTATAATTTTAAAAGAGATAAAAGAAAAGATAACTAGATTGAAAACGTTCGTTTTTTATTCTTGCATTTGAGAAGAAGATGGCGCCACTACATACACCCGAGAAAATATTCTTCCTTGGGGTGTGTTCGCGTTCTAATTTTTTTCTTCTGCTGACGACAAATAAACGCTATAAAAATCATCAAATATTTATTTATGATTATAATTTTTTTTTAATCAAACGATAATAATTTAAAGTTTAGGAATTCAAATATATTTTTCTATTTATTAGCTCTTGTTTTCCGCACCTATAACCGTAATCAAAGCCACGTCGTCTTCTGCTGTGTTGGTAATTCTGAATACAGTATTGTTATGTATTGTTTTTAATATTGAGTGCTTGAGATAAAATAATACTGCAAAAATGTCTACAAGCAACGTTAATGTTACTGCTTTGTATTCGGAACTGTTACGTGCTGGTGATAATGGTGAATACGATAAAGCTTTGAAAATAGTGAATAAAATTATTCACGAAAATAAAGAGGATAAGAAGGCTCACCATTGCAAAGCGGTGTGTCATATTCACTTATCAGAGTTTGAAGATGCTTTAAAAGTATTGGATAAAAATGTGCCTGAAGCTAATTTTGAACGTGCCTACTGTTTATATCGCCTGAATAGAGTTCAAGAGGCTCATGATAAACTAAAGTCGTTGAAAGATCCTAATGGGAAAGAAAAAGAATTGCTCGCTCAAGTATTGTACCGCTTAGAACGATATCCTGAATGTTTCGAACTGTATAAAGAATTAATCAAAAATACCGATGATGATTTTGAAGAAGAAAGAGAAACTAATTTATCTGCTTGTGTCAGTAACTTATTTGATCAAAAAGGTAAAGAATTTAAAAATGCTCCACAATTACGTGAACATACTTACGAGTTAAGTTATAACAGTGCTTGTATTTTGATTAATCAAGGCTTATATGCTGAGGCTATTGAAAAATTGAAGGTTACAGAAGAGCTATGCAAAAAGCAATTGGAAGAAAATGATGCCACTGAAGATGAGATTGAGGCGGAATTGGGAGTTATTCGTGTACAGCATGCCTATGTCATACAGTTGCTTGGTAAAAACGATAGAGCTATGAAATTGTATAATCAAGTGTTGAAAAGTAAGCCATCAGATGTTGCTACTGCTGCGGTTGCATCGAACAATGTTGTTACCATTAACAAAGATCAAAATGTTTTTGATTCAAAGAAAAAGATTAAAACTGCTACTGCTGAAAACTTGGATACAAAGCTAACTTCCAAACAGCGACAAACAATAGCCATGAATAATTGTTTGTTGTTGTTACATACAAACCAACTCGACCAATGCCGTAAAAGTATTCAGTCGATGTCTGAAAAGTTTCCCTCTTGTGCTGCTGAAACAGCTCTATTGATGGCCGCCTTATATTGCAGAGAGAAAAAAGTTCAAAAAGCAGTTGATGTTTTGAAAGAGTTTGCTAGTGCTCATCCTGAACAATCATTAACTTTATCTTTTACACTTGCTCAACTTCTCCTTGCTCAAGGTCATGTGAGTCAAGCCTGTGACACTTTGCGTGCTATGGGAGATGTCACATACACACTTGGTGTCACCTCTGCCTTAGTCACACTCTACCAAAGTATGGAAGATAAGGACTCTGCCGTAACTGTTCTCCAATGGGCTATTAAATGGCACAGAAAGAATAAGAGTCCTGCTTTAAGTACCTTAATCCATGAAACTGCCAAAATCCAGTTGAAGGGTGGTCGACCTCAAGAAGCGGCTAAATTGTTGGAGGAACTGCGTAAAGAAGACCCGAGTGACCTGAAAACGTTGGCTCAGCTAATATCTGCTTTGTCTCAATTCAATCCTACGAAAGCCAAAGAAGTTAGCAAGCAATTACCTCCTGCAGAAGAACTTACTGCACAAGTTGATGTGGATAATCTAGAATCGACAAGTTGGACTATGGGAGCCAAATACATCAAAAGAAGTGGCAAAGTCGAGCCTTCTTCTGGAAAACAAGATACGGGGGATGGTCTTATACAAAAGAAAAAGAAGAAGCATAAAAAAGGAAAACTTCCTAAAAATTACGATCCGACCGTCGATCCCGATCCTGAAAGATGGCTTCCTAGACGAGAAAGATCTACTTATAAAAAGAAAAAAGACAAGAGGGGTGGGGGAATAGGTAAAGGTACCCAGGGTGCTATGGCTAATAGTGAGGACACAGGCAAATCTCCGAATCCACAAGCTGCACAATCACCAGGGGCATCGAATATACCAACTTCTCCTAATGTTCAGGGTCCTAGACAAGTGAAAGGTGGACAAAAGAAAAAGAAGAAAACTCGTTGGTAATTGTGATGTCGGCATGCAATAAATATGTAGTTTTACAAATTACACATTCTTAAAATAAATTATTGCAATTCCATTTGTGTTTGTAAATATTTTGTATTTTCACTCACGTAGATCAAGTTAGAATATATCTGAGTAAGTAAATATTTCTTTTATTTTTAAAGTGTATAATATTATTTAAATTACACATGTATATCTAAGCTCATGTAACTTAAATTAATGATATGTTTTATAATTAACTATGGAATTTACTTGAAAATATTTAAGTTGAATTCTGGGCAATATGTCGGCAAAGTAATCGTAGATTTTTAAACTTTTGATGAAAGGAAATCATAAATTTCTAAGAATACTTCTACAATTCCCGGCCAAATTGTTAGACATACTGTAAGATACTATGTAAAATCTTAAATATCAGGTGATACTATACAGCTTTATTGTTTTTAGGCGGCTGAAACCGGATTGCACTTGTTTATGTTTGTGTATCTATTGGTTATCATTGTAATGCAATAAGTTAAAAATAGATATAAGTAGGAAGTATATAAAAAATCTCTTGAATAAAAACCCATTATATGTATGCTAATATATAAAAGTATTGCATATAATCACGTGGAAAACATGCAATTATTAAAGGGCAACGGTCTTTCTAATAATTTGGTCTAATTATTATAATATACTAATATAATACCTGATAAAATAAGTACTTATATGATATGTCGTCTAATTTAGATTATATGTCGTCTAATGTAACCAAATGATACACAAACGTAAACAAGTGTAAACCAGTTTGTCACGTGAAATCAATAATCCTGTATGTGTCTAGTATCACCCAATAATTGAGCTTTTATGTAGAATCTTATAGTGCGTTTAATAGTTTGGCCAGGAACTAACTGTATATAAGCTAATTAGTTCTACTTAAAAGTTATTGAAATTCTATTTGCATGGCTACTATAAAGATGTGATAATTTTAACTAGGTATAAAACTTAAGCTTTTTTTTTTCTAAATCAACTTTATTTTAGAATTTTAAGTTTCATAATATTTCAAACATTTCATTTATAAATTTGGTTCTGTCAAAAAATTTAATTTTAGCAGATCTGGCATGATTTAAAACACCTGATTTTGTTTTCTTTAAAGTAAAATAAATAAAAGAAACATTGATTTAAGTGAAGATTATTTTAATATGCTATACTTTATACAGTACAGAACCCGTTATCCGGAAAACAGAAAATCAAAAAACCGGAACGAAATTCAATAAATTTTCCTCTCCATTTTTTAAAAAAAAAATTTTTTTTTCCTCATAAGATTTCAAGATTTTTCTTTCTTTTTTGAAAGATTAGACTTACCATCATTTTGGAAACAATCATTAGTGTATTACTTCATCGTTTTTTCTTCTTTTTAAGATTATTTCCAAATATATATTTTTTTAGTTGAGTTTGACAATTAAAAAAAAAAGCTTTTTGTAGCGATTCAGAAAACCGGAAGAATCAGTTATCCGGAATAGCGATGATCCTGATCATTCTGGATAATCGGTTCCCTACTGTATAAACATTTTTGTAGTGTAAGTCATATGTATAATATTAAAGATTTTTTTAAGTAAGTCATATATGTCATATGTATACATTAAAGATTTTTTTCCAGAGATCAATGAGATATAAATTATTATTTGAAGAGATGATGTAAATAAATAAGTAAATATTTATTTGAAGGTCAAAATTGACTTTAAGAAAAATGAAACTATATGAGCAAAAAAGTAAAGTTAGGATTTTAGATTATATCTTTCCATTTAATGTTTAAACAGTTGTTTTAATGATTTATTTAAATACAAGTAATTTTGAGACTTATAAAATACGATATTTTTGTACATAAATAGTGAAGAAAGACTTGTACATAAATAATGAAGAAGGATTTGTACTTAATACATGCATAAATAATGAAGAAAGACATGACATAATACATACANTGGATTAAAGATGTGCATGGGTGGTATAGTACAGAACCTGTTATCCGGAAATCAGAAAACCAAAAAACCGGAACGAAATTCGATCAATTTTCCCCTCCATTTTTTTTTACAAAAAATGTTTTTATCCTCATAAGATTTCAAGATTTTTCTTTCTTTTTTGAAAAATGTTTACCTTACCATCATTTTGGAAACAATCATTAGAGTATTACTTCATCGTTTTTTCTTTTTAAGATTATTTCCAAATATATATTTTTTTAGTTGAGTTTGACAATAAAAAAAACGGCTTTTTGTAGCGATTCAGAAAACCGGAAAAATCAGTTATCCGGAATAGCGATGATCCCGATCGTTCTGGATAATCGGTTCCCTACTGTATATACATTTTTGTAGTGTAAGTCATATGTATAATATTGAAGATTTTTTTAAGTAAGTCATATGTATACATTAAAGATTTTTTTCCAGAGATCAATGAGATATATATTATTATTTGAAGAGATGATGTAAATAAATAAGTAAATATTTATTTGAAGGTCAATATTGACTTTAAGAAAAATGAAACTATATGAGCAAAAAAGTAAAGTTAGTATTTTAGATTATATCTTTCCATTTACTGTTTAAACAGTTGTTTGAATGATTTATTTAAATACAAGTAATTTTGAGACTTATAAAATACGATATTTTTGTACATAAATAGTGAAGAAAGACTTGTACATAAATAATGAAGAAGGATTTGTACTTAATACATGCATAAATAATGAAGACATGACATAATACATACATAAATAATGAAGAAGGATTTGTACATAATACATACATAAATAATGAAGTAAGACCTGAAGAGTAATTTAGAAAATTTTTAATTTTTACTATTTATCCTCGTCTAAATAATTTATTCCTCATTTGATATCTGACAAATTCGGGAAGATGTTGAGCATCAATAAAATCAGCTATGATTTATTTTTTGTTCAATCATTAGTTTGTAATAATTATTTAATAGTTTTAAGTTTAAAAAAAATTGAATTTATTTATAATATTGTTTTTAAATAATATTAATCAATTTTTAAGTACTACTTTTATTATCATATTCATATTTTTTGAAGCCTATGTAGTTTTTTATAGAGTATGTAATTTTGATTCTGTTTCTTGGGATTATTTATTTAATATTAAGTAATGTTTAGATATTATATCAGAGCTTTGATAGCTGAATGTAAAAAGAATTAAAATCTGATTTTAGAGAAGAAAAAAAATAAACATGTTTTTTTTGTCTTCTCTGATTTAAAATGTTTAGTTTTAGGTGAAATTTGTTGTATCAATAGCTTGAGGGTAAGGTAACCAAAGCAGTTGCCTTAGTGTTTTTTGTTTTGTTTTTTTCTAAATTATTTTTTTTCTGTTACTTTTTAATAATTTTATAAAAATATTTTTTTTAAGCTTTTTTCAGGTTATATATTTTTATAATTTATGACTCAAATATGCTTGTCATATTTTCTCTGTAGGTCCTTTTTGCTAGTAATATTGTTCAAAAGGAAAAAAACAAAAAAAAACACTTAATGCGAAATAGTATTTTTAAAGGATTATTTTTAGTATTTAGAAATAAAAGCAGTAATTTTATCTATGATCTTTCCTATTCATTTGGGCATTACTTAAAGCAGGTCAGTGAAGTTAATGACTATTGCAATATACAATTTAAGGAGCTTGCACTAAAAAACCAAGAGCTAAAAAAATGTAAGTATTACAGGACATATGTCCAGAGTCAAGCATTTCTATAAAACAATCAAGAACTTTTTTTATTTTTTTTTAGTGTTGTCTATACTTTTTTTTCCACATGAATCAAAATTAAAAAATAAGAATATTCCTAGAATCTTCTTCTTTAACAGCACTACAGCCTTGTGCAGGAAAGGACTTTCTCAGTCTACCTCTTCCAGACTGTTTCACTCGTAGCTATATTTCTCAATCTATTCACTCTCAATACTTTCAGGCCCTTCTTCCCAGAGTTTAATATGAGAATATATATCCAGAACTACCAACGTTTGCACTTCTTGCATTCTTTTTGGTGAAATATAAATTACATTGATAATAGCTAGAAATTTGTTGGCACTGTATAACAATTTGTGACTGAGGGCTGTCATGTGATCGCTAGGTTTGAAATTTAATCAGTACTTCTAAACAAATATAATTACTCAGCATTTAACATGACAGATAAAAACTTAAAAGCAATTAGAATTAATATTTAATCAAGAATATTGCTTAAAACCATGAAATTCGACTACACACAAGATGTATAAGTATCCACAAGAAACCCTTTAATTATGGGGAAACAATCGTTATTTAAAGCAAAAGAAGTAAAAAAAACTTGAGAAAATTTAAAAGTCCCGATTGCAAAAAATGCAGAACAGTGGCAGATAATTACACATTTATTTTTTATGTAAAAAATGTATGTATGTATATATATAGATATCTATGTAGATATTATATATATAGATATATATATACAGTAAAACCTCCGTTTAGCGGACATTCTTGGGACCGAAAAATTTTTCCGTTTACAGGAAACGGGAAGGGTACTCTAATAACATTTAACACAATAAAAATTGTTTTTAGAATATTTTCAATGATATAGAAATAATTAAATAATCTACAATAACTATCTACAAGTATATTTATTTATATTTTAAGAACGATAAAAAGGATTATATAAAAAAGTTTGATATAAATGCATAATTCTAGATGTAGCTACAGATAATTGAATATAATTTTCCTATTAACATGGATATTCAAGTTAGGCATATGATACCGAATAGTAGCTTTCAGTTCTCAGTCTGTTTTAATTATTAGGTTTGCACCTACTTATCATTTGATAGGGAACGTTGTTAATACCTTCTTTAAAGTAAACCTCCCACAATTCACAAGACAAAAAAAGCAATGCATGCCTGTAATTCATGAGGACCTATGGAGTTGATTATTCACAATTGATCAGCTATCAAGTGTCTGAATAAATGACTTCTGTTCTCTTTTTTACCCCAGCTGTGTTAAATACAGTCTTCAAATTGATAAGAAAATTAAAGAAATTTTTAATGGGGAAGAAGCATTGTGAGCATTTAAGATGTCATTTCAACTTGAGTGACTGTCCGCGTCCGGTTACAGGAGTGTCCATTAAAGGAGGTTTCTCTGTATATATACAGTCGAACCTCGATTTCACGAATTTTTCGATATCTCGAAGAAAAAAAAATTCCCTTCAAATTTCCTATACTCTCAATGTTTAAAAAAACTTGATTTCACGAATTTTTTTTTCTCATCCCTCGATAACTTGAATTTTTTTTCCGTAAATAGTAGATTTTTTTTCTAAAATTAAAGAAATATTCCAAAAAAAAAAAATTTAAGAAAGGCTGACAAGGCATGGAATGATGTGTTTTCCTCTACGATAATGAATGGCTTCAAGAAGTCTGGATTCATTAAAGATCACAAAGGTAGTCAAACAATCAATATTGTTAATTTTGCTGAAAACTACACCAAAAATGATTGGAGCAGATTGGCCGGACTCGTGAAGCTTGATGACATGGAATTTCATGACTTTGCAAACGTAGATGATGCAGTAACAGTGTGTGGTCAGTGGGATGACAATGATATCATCGCTCAAACGAAAGCTTCTTGTAAACTATCAGTAGAAGAGGATGAGGAAATCGAAGATTTGCCGCCCAATGTTACTAACAAACAAGCACTCTCTGCAGTGGACACTAAGGAGATTTATTGAGAGGCAGTCGAATATGTCAGAGGAGACATTTAAAGCTATAGTCCACTTAGAAAGTGTTATAGACAAACTTTCTTACACATCTCTTAAGCAAACAATAATTGAATCTTTTTTTAAATGAAAGTGTGAAAAGTGTTTTTAGAATAAATATGGGATAGTAAATAAGGTATGTAAAGAGCATTTTTCTTTATTCTACCATCGATAACATACGATTTTCGATATCTCGAATTTTTTTTCCTCTCCCTTCAAGTTCGAGATATCGAGGTTTGACTGTATGTATATGTATATATATTGTGTTTGTATGTATAAATACATTCCACCCTGCTCAAAGGAATGCCATTTTTTTCTGCCGTCTCTATTCAAATAAACGGGTTATTCAAAAGGGTAGTGCATTATTCATGCTAAATTTTTACAAAATTTTATTTTCTGCTGGTATCTAATGCATAGTAAAATGTTTTTTATTAAATAACCTTAATTTTAGGAACAATTATAATTAAAGCTGTCAGTGTTAGTATCAAAAAATATAAATGTCATTCGAAGTTATGTAAAAATAAATCAATGCTAATGAAAAATATAATATAGGCACTATAATATTTTATTCCTTCCAAAATCATCAAAATTCGATATTCTTTTTCTACCAAGACTTCCATGATTAGTGTATTCCTTTCAAGTGTTTTCAGAATTTGTTTTTTTCTATCTTTGAAACTTGAGAAATTCCAAATTGGTTTGTTATTTCAGTTAAGGATTTTTTAAAAGTTATTGCTTAATAATTATTTCTTTATGCGCTCATCTTGCGACCAACTCAGTCATTCACTGAGGTAAGCAATGACGCACTATACACAAGGCCCGACTTAATTTAATTGAGGCCCGGGGCAAAAACTTCTTTGGGGGCGCCCTTTGCTTTATTACTTCAGTAATGAACCGAACTTTATGTAGGTATTTAAATTTTTCACCTCATTATAGATAACATAACAAGAAAATTAACCTAAAATAGCTGTAAATCCCCCCCCCCTCCAATGATTTGACGAAATATCGTTCTGTCCATTTTATTGATTTTCTGACAATTCCATGTCCATCCTGCCGAATGCAGCATTCCGATTGTCATCCAGCCGCGAAAAATTCATATCCTTGCTTACATTAGGGCGGAATTCAGCTAAATGCTCGCAATTACGATGGCTCAATTAAACCAACCAGAAGTCCGTATTTTTGTAAACATATCGCATTTTGCGATACATAAAAATACAGGCTTTTGATTGGCCAAAACTGTCCATCGTAATTACGAAAATTTAGCTGAATTCCGTCCTAGAAAGCCACGGATTTATGAAATATTGGCGATCGAAATGAGCTGCAGGTGGCGTAGAGCAGAACTCTTTTCCTATGGCAACACTTCACATGCTTTCTTCATTAGCGTGTGGAAAGTCATAGAGGAAGGAAGTACGTTAGTTTCTCTCTTGATTTTTATATAGATTAAAATCTTTTAAGTTGAAAAACTATATGGAACTGAAAACTACATTAAACATAGTTCTAGAGAAAAGTATCACGGAAATTTTAAGAAATATTTTTATTAAATAAAAAGGAAAAATATTAAGAAAAGGGAAAATATCGTAGTACATTCCTATACAACTGAAAAGAGGAGGAGAGGGATGGGAGAAGGGCTAAAGGCATGAAACCGGTCTCTCCCCAGATGGCGTATTCGAGTGTTGCGATCGCGAATAGATTTTATGTGTTCATACGATAGATTAATGAAGAAGCTAACATAAAACTGACGATTTTAACACTGTACTGATATTTTGTTTAAAAAAAGTTCATTAAAGAAGGGAACGTAAAATAAACTTTGGGGCCCCTCTCTGATGTGGGGGCCCGGGGCAACTGCCCCTTCCTTGGTCAGGCTCTGACTATACACTAGTGTGTCAGCAGATCTTTGAAACTTTTTCTTGTCAAAGCTAATAGCACACCAGGAAGGAAACACAAGTCATAACTGCGAAATGAATCATTGTTTCTTTTCATATTCTAAATGATGTTTGAGTGAAGTAAGTCAAAGAGGGGTAAAACCCTCGTAGTTTGCTCAAATCTATAACTACTAACAATTTTGATTAATTCTTCAAGTATGCCCCTAATACTTGTTTAGAGCAACAATTGATCTGGGCGTCGGTATGAAAGCTACCACCTATTGTATTATCTTAACTGAAAAACGTAAATTCCGTTCTAGCAGGTAAAACATTTATATTTTCTTAAATTTTATTTCAGAACCTCTTCGTGCCTCTACATTAATTTCATATAAAATGATTTGGTTCTTCTATTAAATTTTATTCGTATAAGCAGGTTATTTGATTTTCCTATATGCAATTTAGTGGCAACGACTGTATATAATATATTTATATATCCATAAAAAAATCTTGTGGTTCCCCCCCAAGAATTTTTTCTTCTTTCATGGTCTTTGTTGGAAACGGTTAAAAAATCGAACAAAAAAGAGGATTAATCGCTGTTGTTCCCTGTAACAGATATACAGGTATGGTTCCTGTATAATTTCTGTGGCAATTGCAGCGCTGTTTTCTGGCCATAGATGGCTGTGAGCGTGGGATTGCGAGTTATACTTGCCCTTTCCTGATCTTACTTAATTGATAAGTTTTGAGTTTTGTTTCCGAAGACTTAGCTCGCCATTTGAACCGGTGGTTAATTTGACCTTCCAGAAAATCAGGACCTAATGAGCTGTGCCATATTGTGAGTTGTCGTTCATTATAATTAAACCAGTGTCAATCGAAGCAAACACGCTCCAAGACTTTATTCCTTTATCTCGAACCATGCAAAATATTTTGCTCAAAAACATAGAAAGTTTTGCAACTCTTAAACAAGATACGTACTCAAACCATCAAATTTCTCTTGTCACAAGCAATGATTTATCGGATATTGGAGAACACATATGGTTCTTTAATTCAGATGTTTCATATGGAGAAAATTTCGAATACACTATCTGCCCTCCAATATCTGAGAAATCAATTATTAGAATAGCTATGTAGTCGGGCCTTTTATTGAATGACCGCACACCCCACATGTTTATGAGTGAGGCACTTTCGTTTGACACTAGGGACTAACGTCATGGAGCCCTATGTTCACTTCTAAAGCGTCCAGTTGACAATGATTTTATTTCAATGAACTATTGTGTAGCTGTTAATTACAAAAATTTAAATTTACGAGTAATCGTATTAAAAGCTACCCTTTGGAATAATAACTATGTTCATGACCTTTTCCGGTGTCTTGTGGAAGCCATAGTCGCGACACAAATATGTTTTCTCTGTCTGAAGAAATAAAAAATGTGAAGTCGTTGTTGAAGTTGATTTGTGTGAACTACATCTATTTTAGAATGCAATTAAAGTACATATTATTTTCGTTGGTAATCCTGTTTTATTATCTATAAATAAACATCGTAAGCGTCAGTCACATTATATTAAAAAACCTACTAAAAGATTGAACGTAATAATATAAAACACTAAGCATGTAAGAGGGATACGTTGTGTATACTAATCTACATTTCTTAACCAATCTGCTCAAATTCAGATTTACCTAAAAGTTCGATGACAGTTCTGACAATTTTAATTTAAAATGCTACTATATGTATGTATTCCCCTTGGGTTGACCACTGTCTAATTACCTATTACAGTTAAACTAAAAATTATTTTTTAAAAAGGTTTTCAAAAAGAATGTCTTTCCCTGCAACTATATAATTTTTTTCTCTATTTTCAGATATCAAATCGTTACATTTCAATTACGCCAATCTGACGGCCTCAGCACCCGAACCAGCAAAAATCTACCCACCTACTTCTTTCAAATCAACTACAGCTAAACCAACTCATCGTGTTTCGGAGTTTTACCCAAAATCGACACCTTCAACAAACAAGGTGAAACCAACTGTCACAGGAAAAGGTCAAGTACAAAAACTACCGTTTGGTAGAAACTTGGCTCAACAAGAACCAAAGATATTAGTTAGCAGACAAGAGCGTCTTAGAGAACTTCTGAAACAAAGCAGTGTCATGCATAGACGGCCCACTCTAGATCCAATGAGATCCTTAAAATCCATTCCTCTCACCGATCCATCTAAAGTCACCCGAGTTTTCATCATTACTTATTTTAGAGCTGGCTCTTCTTTCTTTGGAGACATTTTGCAGCAAAACTGGAAGACATTTTACCATTTCGAACCATTACATTCAATGACATACAACAAGCGTGTCGATGATGATAAGATGCCTCAAGTCTTTAATTTGTTCAATGACATATTTACTTGCAATTTTACTGAACAGAAGGCTTATATGGACTGGGTGAAGCAACCGCGTAATCAGTTTTTGTTTTCTCACAATTTGTTTCTATGGGTTACATGTCACAGTAATCCAAGAACTTGTTTCAATCCTTCATTTGTCAATGCCGTTTGTCTCCGAGCTCCCGTGCATGTTATGAAATTGACCAGACTACATATGCACCATCTCCGAAGCTATCTGGAGGAGAATCCAGATATGAAGGCTAAAGTCATTTATTTGACGAGGGATCCAAGGGGTATAGTAAGTTCCAGGTGGACTCTTGACTGGTGCAATGGAACTAATTGTTCCGATCCTGGAGTTCTTTGCCATGAAATGGACGAAGACATAAGAATCTTCGAAGAGCTTCAGCAGCAGCAACCTTCGAACTTCATCAAAGTTCGTTATGAAGATTTATCTTTAAATCCAGAAGCTGAAGCTGAGAAGCTGTTTCGCTTTTTGCATTTGCCATTCTCACCTTCTGTAAAAAAGTTTTTAAAAACTCATACAGTTAGTCGCAAAAACGACGATAAAAATCCCTACTCGACTCGCCGGAACAGCACTACTATGGCGTTCAGCTGGCGTGAGCGTTTTTCCTACAAGCAGATACAAGAAGTTCAATCGCAATGTAGTGATGTTTTACTCAAGTTGAATCATTCGCTAATTCTTTCACCAAATGAACTACCCTATCCTAATGGCAAACCCAAGCTCAAATTACTCATAGAGAAAGCGAATTCTGATATTACACGAAAAGGAATCGCTACACTCGTCGAAACGAAAAGGAATAAATTATTGAAATCTCATACCAGTTGATTAAATACATTTGCAAGAGACTGTAGAATGTTAGTCCCTGTATCGAACGTAGTAAGAGAGTTGTGACCTACAATTTCAAAATTGATTAGATTGAGGTTGCGAAAGCGATATATCGCAGTCAGTTACCACACATGGTCAAGTTTCTCCCTAACTTCCTTTTCTTAATCTGTGGCAAAATCAGGTTAATAATAAAGGGATCATTCACACTACATGCGTAAAATTTGCGTGTGCGAATTTGGAGAGGTGAATTAGAACTTGATTGGAGAAATTACCCGCGAAAAACTTGCATATCTCTCGCAGATGCGATATTTTCGCACTCCGTTTGAATGCTCCTTCATAAATCTAAGTTTTTTCTTTTGCTTGCAGAAAAAGCGGTAAATTACAGCAAAGTTGTTTAATTTATTGAATAACTGATTCAGTTATTTAAAATATGAAAATATCGTTTCGAAATTAATAACTTTTTAATAAGACGGAAAGAGTATCTATACTCTGAGTTGTTATGATTAATTGAAAAAACAATAACTCTCTTAACTACTTTAGATTTAGGAACTCAACAGAATATCAGGAAAAATTACTATTAATTAATGCTGCGTTCAGTGCTTTACAGTGCTTAAATTATTTTTAATTTTAATGGTGGATAATTTATTAATATTGACTTATCAACAATTAATAGGAAAATTTTGCGCTTAAAAAATTGAAATGAAACAATGCGAAATTTTTAACACATTATTCTTAAAGATATTGGATTTCATAAATTAATTTCAATTTTAGCCTTGACATCCTATTTTAACCCCGCAGCTGCAATTTTAAACTTGTTCTATTGAATTTTGCTGTTGCCCGAATTTTATCCTAGTTTTAGGCGCTGTAATAGCCTAAAATGTTGCTCTTATGCCAAAAGTCTACAACACTCACTCGCTTTAATGAATAATTAAAGATTATGAATATATATATATATAATTAATTGTTTAATCAAATGTTAATCTTGTTAAATCATCGGAATTGTAATTGCATGAAGTTACCTGCGTATATAGCAGTAATGTATAATGATTTAAATGCAAGGATTTTTTTTTCTCTGCCATAGTGGAACTTCTATTAAGTAAGTTCCTGTTGAAGTTTTGAAGTTCCTATATTTCTTGTTTGCTTGGTTTAAAGTAATGGTACTTTTCTTTTATTAGAACTGCACTTTATTCTAACTAACATTAACTTAAGGGGGGGGGGAAGCAGTTATCATTTATAGCCTGTTGACAGCTATACTTTAATATTCACTGAATAAGAAAAAAATCAGTTGCTATTCATAATCTATAATTTGTCGTTGGTAACTCGTCTGTAGAAACGAGTCACATTTTTTTCCCTTCATATTTTTAAAATTTGATGCGAGGTATCAATGAAAGGAATGTACCAATAACTTTACTCCTTCATTTTCGTTTTAAGGGACAGTTTTTCATATCATGTGATACTTAGGAATGTATAGTTAGTTTTTCTACGGATTATTTTTCATTGCAAATTGCAATGTGTTGTATTTTGATATATTTGTCAAATAAACTACTTTTTTTTATTAAAAAAATATTGTGTTAGTCTTATGCTTTCTTTATTATTTTTCATCGCTTATAAATAAATTTAAATCAAAAAAATTTTTTTCTCACCGTCAACTCTTATACGCAGTGAGTTTTAAAATAATTTAGAGTGCTGTAACCTTTCTCTGTGTAGCATCCTTTCTATTAGACGGTTTTTTTTCCGATGTAAAAATTAGTTGTACAAGTATATCATTTTTATCATAATCATAATATTTCTTAATATAATCATGAATATTTCTTAAATTAACTTTGCAAGTCATTACAATATTTGCAGTCATGAATTAATGGATAAAAATTACTGGGGTAAATAAAAAATAATCTATATAAAATGTATCAAGCGAACAATTATGTAGAAAAGCGAAATATCAATTTAGCAACCATGCGATGAAAGGCAAAACAAAAATTTAAACTCTTGCCTGAACATTATTCTTAATGATCAGTATAAAAATAACTTTTATTTTTACCGGTTTAACCCCTCAATTTCCAAACACTTTTTTATGCGATAATATAAAAGTACGTAACTAAAAAATAAAAAAAAATAGTAGCTCATGTATTTTTAAAATCAAGCGAACATTTCCTTCTATTAATCATCACTTTAGCTTTGTCGCACTTAAAAATACCCCCTACACCTCCTTGTATGTCTCGCTATAGTATATAAATATATGCTAGCAGTTCAGAAACAAACTGTTATAAATAATAAAAAAATTAAATTTTTAATGACATTTATGAGCATAACAATAATAATATAAAACCAGTTTTTCGATCTTACAAAAAGTAAAGCTCATTTTCCAGCAGCATGAAGTCCACTTTCAATGGATCCCGTCCCACGTCGATATCCACGGAAACGAGTTGGCTGACACTCTTGCAAAGAAGGGACTAGACCAGGGATGGCGAACCATTGGCACGCGTGCCATTTATGGCACGAGACACAATATTTTGGGCACGCCACCGATCACAATTGTTATTACAATAAGAACAATAGATAACTTGCAAAAAAAAAATTAACAGTATTGCTTAAACTAACATCTTACAACCTAATATAAGTTATTTGTCAGCTAATCTATCTAAACAGAAGTCACACTGATGTTACTTTAAGCTGTTTTAAGACATGGCAAAATGTTTTTTTTTTTTTTCAATGTAAATAAAGAGTTTTGAGTTGATAGTATTTAGTATTATTATTTTCCCAATAATCACTAAGTCAAAATTATTTGACGGCACGTCTATGATCTCATAAATGTTTAATATTAATTTTTTTTAAAGTCGAGAAGTGTTCGTTAGAATTCGTTTTGTTCATTATCCGAATATGTGTTCGTTGTCCGACAAAAAAATTTTCCTGAAAGTGTTCGTTATCCGAATATGTGTTCGTTATCCGAACACAAAAATCTTTCGTGAAAGTGTTCGTTAACCGATTTGTTCGTTAACCGATCTGTTCGTTAACCGATCACCCACTGTAT